CCCGGCGGGATCAGCGGCTGCCCGGCAGCGTTAAGCTTGTGTCAGTGGAGCGTGTACACAATCCGTTCTATCGGGGCAGCGTGTTCCCTCGGCCCTGCTGGGGGGAATCTCCCGCCGCCACCTGACCCAGTGACGCCCCCGCCCCTCACGCACCCCTCGCCCCTCGCCCTCGGCCCCAGCCTAGGGGGCGGTGCCGCGGACGCGGGCCCAAGGAGGAGGCGCGGCGGCGCGCCCAGGCACTGCGGAGGGCCGGCCCCACGTGGGAGGTGGGGAGGGATGCCCGCTCCGCCCCGTTCGGTCCGCGCCGGGCCCCAGCTCAACCCGCCACGGAGTGGGCGGGACGCCGGGCGGGCAGGGGAAGCGGTGGCTGCTAGCCAAGGAGCCGGAGCCAAGAGATTAGCATTGGAAGCGCCGTCCTCTTGCGCGTCTGGCGAGAAAGCAGAGCCGGGTGACCGACTGAGCTGCATTTCTGAAGCATTTGCTGCCTTTTCCTTCGCTGAGCTGTGGGGAGAGCCGGGGTGGGGAAGGGAACCCTGACGCTGAACAGACACCTGCTCGCGCGCCCTCCTCCCACACTGAGCCGCGGGCGGGGCTCGCCTTTCCCATCTGCTTCTCTGGCAGCGGTGCCCGCCCCGCCCATCCTTCCTCCTGGGCTGCGGCGCTGACGGTGTGGGGGCTGGAGGAAGCCGCCAGAGCCGGACCAACGGTGTGGTGGGGAGCTGCAGACCCGAGTTTTTAATGTTCTTGTGCGGATACCGGGCTGTGGAATCGAGTTTGAGCTCAGCGTAGTTGAAGTTTAAATTGCAGACTGCAAGCTATTTCAAAGGTAGACCCTACCCACTCGCCCCCCCCACCCCCGGCCGCGACCAAGGCCTCCGGAAACGCCCTGCGGGCAAACCGCGTGTGGGGGTTGGGTCTTCAAAGATTTCCAGGCTCTCGCCGGAGTACGCCTGGAGGTGGGGTTGATGGCCAGGTCAAAGATACACCGTCTCCTGAAACCTTCACCCGCCCCCGCAGCTGGTCTGCTGTAGGCGGGGGCTCTGAAAGGAAGCCGCCTGTATGCTGCGGCCCTGGGGCCTCCGGATGAACGAACCAAGGCTCTGTTTTGGCACTCTCTCTGCCCCTTTTGGCTGTTTGTGCCGGTTCACAGCAGCTGCCGTTGGAGAAAGGAGACAGTGATAACTCGGTTTCAGGCAAACCAGAGATCTGATCTCCTTTGGACAGGCTGAACTTGAGGCAAAAATCACTGCCCCTCTTGCAATTCGACCTGTCTCATTTCTCTGTGTAACCGAAAGGCCAATAGTGCAAATGCTTGTCTTTCCCAATAACCAGAATGAGCTTAGAAAGGAAATTAATTATTTTAGAAATGACCAAACCTATGACATTTGATTATTTTTTTCTGGTCTATCTAAGGCACAGGCTAGCCTTCAACAATAGTGATAATACCATTGGCCAGGGCCATGGAGGCCCAGGGTGGAAAGGGTGAGGACTGAATGGCCTCCTGTCACTGCCTCCTAAATCTGCTGGAGGGGTGCCAGCTCAGCAGCCCGGGCAGTTCTTCCTGCCCCCCTCCACCAGAACTCCTGCTTCTCTCTGCTGGGGTGTCCCTCCCTGCAGGCTTCCTTCCGCTTGGGCTGTCCCATCCTGTTGATCTGAGCCTGGGGGGCTGCAGCAGCTGGCCAGTGGGTAATTGCTGCAGTAGAGGAAGTGGCTGTGTGTGCCCAGCCCCAACCCTGCCCTCTTTCCTGTCCAAGAGCCGCCCCTTGGGGTGGCCACAGCCCTGTACCTTCCTCAGGAATGTGGGGCCCGCTGGCATGGTTCCCTGGCATGCTGAGAAGCTGGGAGCATTCATGACTTGGGGGAGTAATTCAAAACAGGAAAGAAAAGAGAAAAAGAGGTAGGAGGAACAGCGTGGTGGCACGATTCCTAGAGATTTGGAGAAAGATGTTCTCCAGCCACCTCAGACTCAACCAAAACTAAGATTGCTGTTTCTAGTCCTTCCTTATGGCTTCCTCGTTTCTGTCCAGCCTTCACCTTCTACTGTGAAGCCCTGGTTCCCAGGAGCCCCCAGGTCCCATCGGTTTTGCCTCACAAATGCCTCTCTTTTCCTCACTTGCTATTTCTCCCCTTCAAATGTTACTCTAGGTCAGTCTGTCATCAATTCCTGCTTGGATTAAACATCCCCAATCCCCCACCCAACCTCCACCCACACCCCAGCTGGTTTTCCGGTGCCCAAATCCTACACTGGGACCAGAATGGCTTTTTTTAAGTCATGATCCAATCACGACACTTCCTACTTAAAAATGATCCTTGGCTTCTGTTGCCTAGAGATTTAAAAAAAAAAAAATCCACTTGGAGTCATCTAGTCCGTCCTCAAATACTCCCCCAGCCCTTCCCACCTCATCTCCCACCCAGACTTACCCTTGCCCACGACCATAGCAAACACTTTGCTGTTTCTCAAACATATGGTACGTTTTCATGTCTCGAAGCCACGTCTTCATCCAGTAAACACTGCTGCTCACGCCTTTGTTCATTCATCCTCTCCATTCAACACACACTTGTTGAGCATCTACTATGTGTTCTAGGCACTGTTCTAGGAAACAGGGCAACAGTAGTGACCAAGACCCGCCAGATCCCTGCAGGATAAAAGGGTGAATGGGGAAAGAAAGGTAAGTAGCACAGGGACCAGCAGATGATGTAATGGTTGTATCACTGGACTCCCAGTGGACAACTGTGGTTCGAGTCCCAGACCCAGCAGCTTGAAACTCATGCCGGACGTGTGTGCATGCATGCCCAAAACCCCAAGAGGAGAATGGAGGGGAAGGGATTGTGGTGTGGCCATCCCCCCGGGAGGATAATTTCTCGCTTTCTGTCTCTCTCTGTCTTTCTGGTAAGTACACGCGACCTATAACAAAAATCTCTCTTAAAAAAAAAAAAAAAAGACAAGTAGCATGAATAAAACACAGAAGTATCACTTAGGAAGATAAGTATGTTTACCGCAATACACAGACTTATAACGGTGGCATGAGTGTGCCCGGGTAGCTGGTTTGGTTTGGAAGATAAAAGAAGCTTGCCCTGACTTTTAAGCTGAAAACTTAGTGGGAGGAAAGGAAGATCTGGGGGAAATGCAACTAAATAGAGTTAACAACTAAGCAGTCTTGTAACAGGAAGAAATTTGCTCTCACCGTGAGAGGCAGCTAGAGGTACACAGAGTACTGTGGAAAGTGGGAGAAGATGAGGTGGTCATAATCACCTTCTGATCCAGTGTCTGCTCTATATTAGATACATTTTTTTTTCTTTTTTTATTTCCTTCTTTCTTTCTCTTTTTTTTTTTTTTTTTTTTTGGCTATAGAGTATGTGTACTTGCCAGAGAGAAGAAGAAATTGAGAACTCACCTCTCAGGGGGGATGGACATGTCCCTTCTCTTCCAGTCTCCTCTTGGTATTTGAGGCATGCATGCACGTATGCACACACATGCACCCAGCATAATTTTTAAGCCTCTAGGTCTGGGACTCAAACTGTGGAGTCCACCATGAGGGATCCAGTCACCTCAACCTCCACACCACCTGCTGGCCCTCAAAATCTTTTTTTAATGGAAGAAATAAGATCATAGGTTGTCTCTGAAGACTCTCTGAACAGAATGTAGGTAAACACTTAGGTGGAAGTGTGGCTCCTTCTATACCTTTCCCTTTACTTGTGTCACGATAGAGCCAGACACAGAAAATTGCCGTCTTGGGCATGAGTGAAAGAAAGTCCTTAGAGAATAGAAGGTGGTACTTCTGATAGATGTTGACCCTTCCTGCTG